TAAGTCACCATGAATACTTAGTCAATTAAATATACAAGTTACGCAATGGATTCTTTTAATCCATTTTTATTAATAGTTTCTGCTTTCTGAAGGACTAGTAATAGCCCTGAAGTGTGGTCAAGGGGATAGTTTGATAATATTTCAGACAAATTTATCGAGTGCTTACCACATGCCAGGCCATGTTATAGGCACTTTGGGGTACATCAGAGAACAAAACAGAGATCCTTGTCTGCGTGGAACTTAGGTCATTTTGTTGTAGTATTGAAAGTGTGAAAGATGAAGATAAATTAGCTGTGGGAAGGAAGCTTGACTTATTCATGGGAACAGCATGTTCAAAGACTGGGCTAGACATCTTGTGAAAAATGAGGAGCTTGAATGGGACTGAAACTTGACCAGAAGGCCACCAACTCTTCTTAGAGGTGACCCAAAGGAAGTACACAGACGTAAAGTTAAGATTCTCCTCAGAAAATAATTTTGAATATTTCCAAATCAAAACACCATAGTTTGTTCCTTAAGGGGGTGATAGTAGTTTTAACTGAAAAAAAATTAAAATGTAGCTAACCATGCCCTCAGCTATTAAAAATCAAACCAAATGACAACAGCAAACCTTCAGACCAGAACATCCACAACACATCTAGCTTGAAGCTGTGTACCATCTGGGGGTGTCCTACAAGTTAAACTCATTACCAGTGTACATTTAAGTAACTAGAATGAAGAAAATTACAGAATTTGTCAGTTACGAGTCAGTTAACAAAAATTATCTACTAAAAACTAATTACTTTGAATTTAGAATAGTTGATATGTAGCCTTTTTTCTGGCAGTAATTAGAAGGACCAATTGTTTTTTAAGTACCTTTCTAGACTGGGCCATAAATCCAGGTCATCTTCATAATAAAAGAATATGGGGAGGATATTATCTCATTTTTTCAAAAGAGATACTCCAAAAGGGAAAAGTTAAAAAGAAAGAAAATGAGAACCTCCTGGCTTATTTTACAGGAATGTTTCTGATTCATCTTCTTTTAGTTGAAAGTGAATTATTAAGTATTCAGAGGATGATTGTGGGCTCCATGAGAGCAACAAAGGGAGATTCTGTGATGAACTCATGAAACATAACCCATAAACTAATTTGGCAGCATTTAATAGTAATAACGTCAAGGTCTGCACATAATGTCCAAAAGAACTGCTCAAGTTCAGATATGAATTAGTGTGATAGGACTTCTAACTAATGCAGTATTACAAGGCTTCTTATTTTGGGATGGTGTCAAGACTAAAATGTGTCTCAAATCTCTGCAATGGTTTACTTGGTTTTGGAGACCATATTTTAAGGAGATGTATTGAAATATTTAGGCTTGAAAGAGGAGGGCTACTAGGATGCTGAAAAACCTGAAAATACTTCCATAAGGAAGGAGGTGGAAAATAGAGACTTAGGGGAACGTGAAATGATCTTCAGTTTTCTGGAAGGCTATCGCTGGGAAGAAAGAAGTAAGTATAAGCAGACTTTTGTTTTGCTCCAGATGGCAAGTCTAGGACCTAAGTTTAAATGCAGGAGACTTATTTCATTTCTGGAAAAGGAAGTTTATGTTTGTTTTCAAACAAACCAAAAGGAACATAAAAAAAAAGAAAAAAAAAGGAGTGGAGGGTGTGGTGGCTTGCACCTGTAATCCCAGCGACTCGGAGGCTGAGGCAGAAGGAACGCTTGAGCCCAGGAGTTAAAGATCAGCCTAGGCAACATAGCAAGACCCCCCATTAAAAAATTATCTGGTCATGGTGGTGCCACCTGTAGTGCCAGCTACTTGGGAGGCTGAGGCAGAAGGATGGCTTGAGCCCAGGAGTTAAAAGCCTTGGTGAGCTGTAATCTCACCACTGCACTCCAGCCTAGATGACAGAGCAAGACCACGTCTCTTAAAAAAAAAAAAAAAAAGGAATGTTCTCTTTTCGAAAGTGTTTAAACATTGGCCCAAAGACCACTTGCTGGTGATGTATTATAGAAGGTGTACCGGCACTGGGAGCAAGGTTGAAATAAGTAACTTTTCAAGTTTGTTCTTGTTGTTACGATTCCTTGAATCCCTGACCCAGAGGAAATATCATTTAATGATATTGTTTACTGGCACATTCATTTATTCAAATAAATATAAGTGCCCACTAAGTACTGATTCCTCTCCAAGTGAACAAGAAAGACAAAGTTCCTCCCTTCATTTTTAAGGATTTTCAAGGGATAGATAATTATTTGGATCAGCATGTCAATTGTATAGGCATGACTAAAACACTTGGATTTTTATTCTTTTTTTTCCATCTTCTACAGTATAGTAAAGGATTTTTTATTCTTTTGTGTAGGTTAAATATGCCCATCAGCCCTTTTTATAGTATTTTTCTCATCATAAACTTTTAAAAATTACTACATAACAATTTTATTTCTGTCTGAATTTAGGCAAATTTTAAATTAAGAGAAGTTGATTGATTTTGAATTTTCATAATAACACATGTATAGCATTGAAATACCTTCCCAATTAAAAAATGAATAGTTACTGGGGTAGGTAGATGCAAGCCACCTGTAATCCCAGCACTTTGGGAGGCTGAGGTGGGAGGACTGCGTGAGGCCAGGAGTTCAAGACCAGCCTTGGCAACATAGCGAGGCCTTGACTCTCCAAAATATTAAAACATTAGCCAGACATGGTGGCACAGCACCTGTAGTCCTAGCTACCCAAGAGGCTGAGGCAGGAGAATCACTAAAGCTCAGGAATTTGAGGCTGCAGTGAGCTATGATCCTAACACTGTACTCTAGCTTGAGTGACAGAATGAGACCTGTCTCTGAAAAAAATAAAAAGAAATAAAAAATAAAATGTGAATAGTCTTTGGCATGTCTACCACTTTAAGTGATTAGTCATTAATTCATTCAGCAAGTGTTTATTGAGTGCTTATTATGTTCCAGGAGCTATGTACGTTCTGGGGATATGGCAGTGAAAGAAATCCTTGTCATCTTGGAGCTCACAAAATAAACACACAGTGTATTAGGTGATAAGTGCTAAATAGAAAAATAAAGTGGAGGTGAGAAGCGATTGAGTAAGGGTCTTGGGGGCCATGATAAGGGCTTGGACTTATTGTGAGATGGGAAACCACTGGGCTGCTTGGTACAAAGAAGTGGCATGATCTGTCTTATAAAAGGATTATTATTGCTTCTCTTGTTAAGTACAGAGAGGGCATGGGTGAGAGAGGGAGGCCAGTTAGGAGAACTTGTAGTAATTCAGGTGAGAGTCGAGAGTGACCTAATCATGTGAAGGGAATGGAGATGGTAAGAGGTAGTTGAAGTCTGGATATTTATTTAAGATAGAGCCAACATGACTTGCTGATAGATTGGATTTGGAGGGTGAGAGTGTGAGATCATGGATGATTCTAAGGTTTTGGCCTAAGCAACTGGAAGATTCCAGTTGATCAAATTCAGCTGTCCTGGTACAAGCATGGGGTCGGCAAACAGTGGGGTTTAACCAGGACTGGGATTTTTCCAGGTGATCATGATGAAGGGAGGGGGAAAGAGTGATTCTGTAATGATTGACCGTACTTTAAGTTGGCCAAGGAGTAGGGTAGCAAGAACATGAAGATGGTGAAGAACATTAAGTTGGTAACATTGTGGTAGGTCAGTGCTTTGTTGTTTCTAGTGGGGTGGACGAATTTTTGAACTCAAAGTGCCAGAGGGACTAAAATGGGAAGATAGGAGGTACTTGTGATTGAAAGTATGGGGCTGGGCACGGTGGCTCACACCTATAATCCCAGCATTTTGGGAGGCCAAGGTGGGAGGATTGCTTGAAGCCGGGAGTTCAATACCAGCCTGGGCAATGTAGCAAGATGCTGTCTCTATAAAAAAAGAAGAAAAAGAAAAAAAGAAAGTATGGAGAGCTTATAATTATTGGTAATGACAAGATCTGAGGTTTGACTATGGAGTCATAGGCTGAAGTAGTATAAACAGAATCACTGGAGGAGAGGAGTTCAAAGAAATGAGAGATATTAGTATGATTATTTCAACAAATACTGAACTTTTTTTCCCATATGTGATTATTTGGAACTTTAAGAGAAGTGGGGTTTCATATAATACTTGATTACATTTTTTGTACCTTAATATCCTCATGCCTAATGCAATATTACAGGTCCGTATCATGAGCATTCTCATAGCTGGTCTTTCTTCTTAATGCAGTAACTACTGGTACTTCAGAGATGAATGCAATCTTGGATGATCCAGAATTTGCTGATATTGTGTTGAGAGCAGAGCAAGCAATAGAAGTTGGAATTTTTCCAGAAAGAATCTTTCAAGGTTCAAGTGGAAGTTACTTTGTGAAGGATCCTAAGAGGGTGAGAATTTCACAGACCTACTATATATAACAGAAATTTTGGAAAACACTAATTTAAATGCAAAGTCGTTGTGAGTTTCTGAAGATACTTTCCTATTAAATATGATTGCAACCTCTTTTCCAAAATAAAGGTCAGTTTTTTATTTTTACTAAAGCACACTACTATTTAGAAATAGAGCTAATCATTTTAAGTCATAGTTTGCTGTTGTGTTATTTTATATTTGGTTTCAAACATTTATTGAATGTCCATATTCCAGCTGTAGACTTGTTGAGCATATATATTCATAAGTCCTTATCTTATATTTTGCCCTACAAATACTTGTTTTTAGCATTATACCAGGGGAAGGAGGCTGAATAATCAGAAGTTTGAAGACATTGGCATCGGACAAAGTGAAATGAACCAAACTGATTCTAGAGCAGAAAGGAAAAGTTGATATGGGACTTTGTTCCAATTCATCTTGAATTTTTTTTAAAAACCTATGTTTTTTTCTTCTAAAAGCTTTCTGAATGATGCATAATGAGCAGTTCTTTTTTCAAGGTGAAGAATGTTTATAATTTCACCAAATTTTTCTTGCAAAGATTGAAGTTATATTTTAAAAATGATTTTTTTT